AAAAAAAACAAAAAACAAAAAAACAAAATATGACAAATAAAAGGAGGGACTAAAATGAAAAGAAAAAGTTCAGACTCAATTTTTGCGTCCAGACACAAATATGCGTCGAAGGAGGAGAACGGGAAAAACGCAAATGCTGATGCGTATGTTCGGTTGAGACGATTTTGCTGCAAAAAATGGATTTTGGTGTTCCGTTGGAGGTCTTAGTACTTGGTGCATTGGAATAGCGTATAGATTTGAGCTTTTATGTATGTCTTATGACTTTTAAAATTATAAAATTCTTGGTTAACTTAATTAATTACAAATATACCTTAAAACGTAATAATTTTTATTTATTGTAAATTTTTTATATATCACATATCAAAATAATTATTTCTTATGATCATTATTTTGATGTTTATATTACATGCATAGATTAAAAGAATAATTATATCTACCTTTATAAATATAAATAAATTATTTAACAATTTCTATTAAAAAAAATCAAATTTTTTTTTTCAATTTGTTCTATAATATACATTAAAAATTATTTTTTTATGGAACGAATGTGTCTTGTGAGTAAAAAGTGACATTTTAAATAGAAATAATAATACATTACTTTAGAAATTTAAATATCTAAAATAAAACTTCTATGTTTTTAAGTAAGAATTTTTTAATTAACACTCGAATAATACACTAATGTTATATTATGACTACTAATTACCTCACTTTTAAGTCTCGACAGAATATGGGTCCAAGTTCCCAAGTAATAAACTGTTGCGTAAAAACGTGCTTTCTAAAGTGCCATTTAATTGTCACTTAGGAATAAATTAAGAATATTAACCTATATAATTCTTTTGATAGAAATTTATTCACGCAACGCAACACATTGGCATCCATGTATAATATATTAAAGCAATCCCTCCCTATACCCCTCCCTATATATTAATTCAAAATGAGTCGAGTCTAAATGGCAGATTCTCACTCTTCAAATACTGACATGGCGCAAATCTATGCTCCGTGATGTTGTTTATATATATTCATTTTACCTCTGGAGTTAAGTTTTATATTAGATATAAATAACTTTTTACAATTTAACTTGGTAAATATATATTTAATTTATTATTTTTTTCTCCCTCTTAGTACACATTTCCTTCTTAGTTTAGACGTAACGCTCTTACCATATTATAATTTCTCTCATATTTATCTTCTAAATTACGATTTACAAATCACTTTTTGCACTGTTTATTTCTTATTTTTTTTCTTCATCAATTAGTCCATCAAAATTTTGAAATAAAATTTTTATTATAACAATAACTTTTACTATATATTTCTTAACTCAACACCCGTGTAGTACACGGGGTATTGTACTGGTAAATTGATAAATATGAAAGTGGAAAATGAAAATTATAACATGAAACCAAAATGATTTTTAAAGATTTTCTTTCTCAAAAATATTTTAAAGTACATATAGATATCATGATATATTGACATTAATGGAATTGTAGGCTATTATCAATCACAAAAACCATTGACAATGGGAGTTGTAGGCTATTGTTATCAATATCACAAGTGCTATTCTCTACTTATATTGCTATATTAAGTTGCAACTTCATACTTTGAAGTTACAAAACTATACCTACTAAAATAGTATAATTTACTCTTTGAAAAGACCTACTTCTCGCTCTAAAAGTTCTATTATTATTATTATTATTATTATTATTATTATTATTATTATTATTATTATTATTATTATTATTATTATTATTATTATTATTATTATTATTATTATTATTATTATTATTGTATAAACATATGATCGAATAATTGTCAAACACTGTAATAATAGTCCCATGGTTATTAGTTTGAGTTGATATGTTGTCAAATGAGGGAAGAGGTAACGAATTCAATTTTATTGTACTATTTATGCTTTGAGACTTAGAGACATCCCTACCTATATATTCATATATAGATTTTTTTTTTAATATATGTCAATTTTTTCGTGGTTCACAATTTTGTGTATCGAAACTGGTGTTTCGCATGTACGACA